TGAGGCTGGATGAGGTACCTCCTCCCACAGGCCTCTGCCTTAGTCCCATCCGACATCCTATCAGGCTCTACCAAATGTCTTCCCTACCTCCTCATTTTACCTCCAGCGTCCTAACAACATTACTATACCTGACAATGTGTTCACCCCACATTTGGTGAACATTTGACAAGCGAACAACTGATGGCTGGAAATTCTTTCTTATTCCTGTTCTAGTTCTAGTTATGCTTTCCAAATCAATCCAGAAAACTTCCAAGCCGAGGTGGTGCATTTAGAAGCTCTTAAAATAAAATTGCCAAGGCATGCCCACTTTGGGGAAGAATAATTGAGATGGAACACATCTGTCACAGGTGCCTAAGCAGAGACAACTCAATGAAACAAACAACTTTCATATTAAAAACAACTTTGGCAACTGTAGCAACTTGTCTTCAAAACGGATTTTTAAAAATATTTGTATAAGTAGAGTATAAAGACAATTCCTTCTAAATATTCCAGAAAGAATTTATCATTTTCCGTCCAAGCTTGGTTTTCCTAACAGGATGATTATCAACCAGCCACTCGAGTCAGAAACCTTCACATCCAACCTATAATCCAAATCTTGTGAATTTCATCTTTAGGCCCTTCATGCCTTTATGCTCTCCCCTTTATGTCCTTTGCAGTGCATGCCTCTAGACCCCCATCTTCTCTTCTCTGCCTCTTCTTCCTTCAAATATTGCCCCCAACCCTTATTCCCAATCCACTCTCCATTTTACACCTTAAGTGAACGTCTTCAAGTGCAAATCAAAGCATTTTCCTGCATATGATTTTTTTAACATTTTCTCACTGTTTATAGCTATGGCTTTAATCAGACGTACTAAATAAGAAATTTCCAAGGGTCACAAGGAAACAGTTTTAATAGGTCTAGAGATAGTTATAATTGGGAACATGTGATGAACAGACTGACATCACATAGAAGGATTGCTAAGCTGGGTCAACTGAGCTGCTGAGATAAAAGACAGTGCATTTTTTAGTTCTAACTGCAAAGTTATAAAAACTTCTCTAACAGGGTTCAGCATTCTGTTGTTGGAGTTGAGATGGTAATGGACAAAATGGGTCTACATTTGAATTGCCTTCAAGAGTTCACCCACTGCCAACCCAATTCAGGATTGTGCAGAATATGACTTCAAACCTGCTTTTCCAGCTTTACCTCCTATGTAGTCAACCCCCAAACAACTAGACTCTTTCCTGTTTCCTTTAAAAGCTCCCTTAGTCACACTTCATTCATGCTTTTCCAACCATCTGAAAATCTCTCTCTCTCTCTAGTAACTTCATACTTGAAGTCCCTGGGACTAACCATTTCAAAAACAGGTCACTCATGGGGTGCCTGGGTAGCTCAGTTCATTAAGTGTCCAGCCCTTGATTTCAGCTCAGGTCATGATCTCATGGTTTGTGAGAGTTTAGGTATAAAACAACCAATGAAAAAAGAGTACCAGCTTCTGGAATAATTACCCTGGGGAGAAAAACACTGTAAAAGAAATGAGCCCTGGTCCCAAAGTGGCATCCCTGCACCCTGCATCTTGCATCCTACTTCAATGAAAGACATATTGCACTTTGTGAAGGTGGAGAGTCCAGCAGCTGCCAAGACCTGATCTGAGAGGCTATCACCATCATGTCTGTCAGCTGTCACATCTATTCTAGACAAGATCCAGAGAGAATTGGAACAGTGCAGATTGGTGTCTTCACTTCCTTCTGTGCTTGCTGTACCAAGAAAAAGGGCTTATTTGGGTTTGGTTTTGTTTAAAGGTTCTGACATTAAGAGTGCTTGATTAGATTGGGACATGTGTATGGGTTAGAGATGATGGAATAGATTTCCTCCAGCTCCAACTCCCCCAGATAACCTTCGCAAACAGCCTCATTGACCCTTCCTCCTTCCAGGGAACTCAGCACTGCAGATGTCAGAACTGTAAACACTCTAACATAGTCCTGTTAAATCTGATTCTTCACAACCTGGCCTCTTCTTAGGACAAGATATACTTGAAAGCACATTTGAGAAATGTCATCTTCCAGTAAGGTTATGGAATAGTATCCACACATCCCACCTGATTGCCCAGAGTTATGGAGGTTCAGCCAGTCCACATTCACCCTGCTGTGTGCTGCACTAGGCTGGGGCTGCAGATTAGACAGTTAAGGAGTGTAAGTTCAAGCAGTGACAGGAGTGGAGGAGCATGGGGGCTGGGAGATAGGATCCAGTGTAGGCAGGTGAAAGGGTGGTGTGATGCAAAAAATGGCAGAGGAAAGCACTTGAATGGAGCCAGAGAGGGAAGACTTGCCCAGGGAGGAGTTGTTCCAGCTGAGCCCAGAAGGAAAACCTGGGTATTCTGCAGGACACCTTAAGCCCAAATACAGAAAGGAACTGGCCCCCTGTATCTTTAGAAGCAACTTCAAGGGCTCCAGAGTGAATTCCTGCTGATTCTCTGAACTAGAACTGGGACGGATGGATGGCTCTATTTCTTGATAAAGAAATAAAAGCTATGCCACAGTTAGCTCCACTGACTATTGAGATGTACTTCTCAATATTATGTTTACCATAGTATTTATCTATAAATTTCTCAATATCCTGCCCAAGAATTTACCAGGCTCACTTTTATCCTTTGGACTAAAGTAATCCAATTTTCAATGCCATATCCATGTGTACATGTCCAAATTATTTTTTACTCCCAATCTTAAATTTTTGTTTCAGCCAAACCTATGCCAGATTCACCTCTGCTCCAAAAATGCTTCATTCCTCCTCTTTATCTTTAATTATACTGTCCCCACCATTTGGACAAGGAAGGAAGGAAGGAAGGAAGGAAGGAAGGAAGGAAGGAAGGAAGGAAGGAAGGAAGGAAGGAAGAAGGAAGGAACGAAGGAAGGAACAAAGGAAGGAGTGGAGGAGGGAGGGAGTGAAGGAGGGAGACACACAGAAGACAAAGTAGTGGAGAAGGAGACAAGATGGAAGAAGGAAAGAGACAGGGAATAACAAGTTCTGACTGAGTTATCTAATCCCTTCCACCAGGTGTTTTGTGGTTTTCCTCCCCACAGAAAGGAGGCAGATCAGTTGGTTGACATACTTCCAGTAAGCACTGAGTATTCTTCCTCAAAGTATTTTATCTGGTCTGGTCAGTTCTGTCCTGTGATTTCTAAGTCAGCTCTACCCTTCAGAAAATAATATCGAAAGAAAACAAGTTACTTGTCGCCAGAGGCACAAGAAGCAGGATGGGTTCTGTTAGATTCCCCATTCTTTACCCAACACTGGCTCCCTGGTATCTGTGTTTCATTTGGTTCATTCCCAATCCTCAAAACAACCACATGTGCTAATCTGAGCAATAAACTGAAAGAGATGCAATATACTGGGTTTCAGTGATGTTATTCCCAAAGCATGATTTTTCAAGTAAGTTCAAGAAATCGAGTCTTATATCCATGGCCATTCTCCTTTCCTTCTCTGATTTGGCACTCCCACCAAAATCCTGCCCCTGAAGCCTCCTCATGTGTTTATATGTGATGGCAAAGCACCAAATGAAGGTGCAAATAATTCATTCTAAAGCCAGAGCCAACTCTGAATGACTCATCTTGACAGAATTAACTGAATTTGCCACATGTTCTGATGTTCTATAACCATAATTACACTTCATAATTTGTTGCAGTACAGTCACTGGGAGACAGAAGTGCTGAATTAATTGTACCATTTTTGTGACCTCTAGACTTGCTCCATTAAGACAAGTTAATTTCTCAACATGGGAAGATTCATTTTTTTGTACAGAATAATATTAGTAATAAACCCAGAGCATAAGTGAGCAGTGTGCACAAACGGCTGCTATCCAACAGCTATGTGATCACACCCTAGTTCCTCTTGAATGCAATTTATGTCAAATATGTTAACAGAGGATGTGATGGGTATTTGATTTGTTTTGGCTTTGTAAGGAAATAGCATGATTTCTCAAGGTTTTGGATATGTTTTTGTGATGAGGCAAAACTAATAAGTGGGAGTACTCACCAGAAGGGTCATTTATGGGGTCATTATGATGCATTTCTGGAAGATAGATTTCTCCACAGAGACACCTGGGGGCTCTCTTGTCTGAGGCTCTGCAGATCAAGAGGCCATTGGGCATGTGCTGTTGTTGAGGACATCTCTTCATCCATCCCTGAATATGTGGACAGCAGGTAGACAATATGCACCAAACCCTTGGGCTAATGCTTTGACCCCAATGTGTCTGTGAAGCAGGCAGGTCTGTGGCTTGGAAGTCTTGCAGGGAAGAAAGAGTATTTTAGCTGATGGTTTGAGCAAGAAGGTCGTTTCAGAGCATCATTCTGTTGCAGACTGAGAAGCTACCCATGCACTGGCCAGGTTCTGATCAAGCTCCATCTATTTCTCCACATACTGTTCAGGATGGGAAAGGTTCCCAGTAACCAAGGAGATGGACTTAGAACTAATCAAGACAAATATTCTACACTCTATAATTTCTGAGGGATTGACCAATTTTTCTTTATATGGTGTGCTATTTTTCAAAGCTAATACTAATTTATTTGGTTTTAATGTAAGTGAGGAATGGGGGGTGTGAAACTTGGAGCAAATCTAAATTATTCATGGCCTCTTTTAAGTCAGCTAGAACTAGTTTTTCAGATGCTGTCTACTGTTTAGATTTTTTCCATTGATGATCTTGAGTATGAATGCTGGTTGATTCTAGGACATCACACTGTGATAAAATTTATGTTATTCCTACTTATAAATTCTACTTAACTCTAAACAGTAAGGGTTAGTTTATGTCAACAAAATTATTGATGAAAATGATAAATCAGAAATAATGTAGCTTTAAAAGTGATTTAAACATACATTATCAAGGAATCAATCATTCAAGTGTTACTATATCAGACGTTTGTAAAACACTTGGGACAGGTTAGCAATCAGCATACTATTTTTTCTTATTTCCCCTGAAAAGTGGGGAAATTAAGCTAGATACCTGATACATGGCAAAAGTCTGACATTACCATAATCCAGAGGTTTCTAGGAATGGCATGTTGGCATCCAGCAATCACAGCCTACAGGGTGGAAAACACACAAATGTTTAGAGAGAGGAAAGAATGCTGGCAATAGGCATCCTCAGAATATACCCCAAGCCATTTAAATCCTAGATTTTAAAAATGGTCCCTTTTAGTGAACTGTGCTGGCTAAGAAATATCAGTACTCTTTTAAAACACAGAGTTCCATGTGTGATGAACAAATCTGCATGTAAGTACTCAAAAGCCAGAAGGAGCAGCACCTGGATGGCTTAGTCAGTTAAGCATCTGACTCTTGGTTTTGGCTCAGATCATGATCTCACGGTTTAAGCGCTATGTCGAGCCCCGTGTCAGGCTCCACACTGACAATGTGGAGCCTGCTTGGGATTCTCTTTTCCTCTCTCTCTGGCCCTCCCCCACTTGTACTCTCTCTCCTTCTCAAGATAAACATTTAATAAAAAATGTTTAAAGCCAAAAGGAAATATGGAGACACTCAATGTATTGCTAAACTTCTTTGATTGCCACAGCTCTTATGGGGAATTTTTAGGTCATGTGGTCAAAACTTAGGATGAAGTTAGTTTTTCTGTCATCTGGAATGAAATGGTTTATAAGGCAAATTAACAGCATGGAGATAAGATTTCAGATGAAAAATTTCACATTGACTAAGTATTTTTAAATACTCTTCAAACACATCAGAGGCAGTCATTTACATAAAAGAAATGATAAGCAAATTACATTTGAATGTCACTTCCTTGAAGGTTAAACTCCCCAAAACTCCAAGCACAAATGTATCCAAGAACCCAGAACTGAATGTGACCACATTCCTCACATTCTCCAATACCCAGACCAAGCCTCACCTCCTCCAAGACACTGTACACCTTGCTCCCAGGGAGCTGTTGGCTAACATGTGCTAAGCAGTCACTCACTTGGAGGTCACATGCTTACTTTCCTGGACTCCCTCTAGATTTCCTGGACTGGGAGCTCTGTTAGGTAAAGGACTGTGTCTTTTATTTCTCCGTCTAAATTTGTACTCTTAACATGGAGAAGGACTCAAAAATTATAAGAAGAGAAAAGCAAAGAGGATGAGAAAGAAGATAGAAAAGGAAGAGGAAGAGAAGGAGGTTGAAGAGGAGGAAGAGAAGGAAAGAAAAGTCCACACACAAAAAAGTAGAACCGCTTTCAGGTTATGTGAAAATGTAGTATCACATTATGGGAAAGTATGTGTCAATGTAGGGAGAGATAGAATAGAACAGGGACAGCAAACAAAAAACCTGTATGAAGAAGGTAGGTTCTTCTCTGTGCTTAGTGATTTAACACAGCAGCACAGACCACTTGGGGAAAACAACCCATATGGAGCACAACACTGAGTAGTTATTGGAAATAAAATATGAAGTGGGGGCTTAGTCATAAATGAATATGAGAACCTGGTTACTTAGATCTGGAGTATGAGGACTGGGCCCAGCCTCCTAACTGGAGCCAAGTTAATGGCACTAGCTGTCAGGCTTAAAGGACAGAAGCAATAAACCAAGGAGGTCACTATACTTACTTTTACTATCTATAAATCTTCAATTATTTTGATATTTGCTGAACTAATTTTTCTTGAAATGATAGTAAGTCCTGGAATTCTAATACAACTAGTATATTTAAAGATGGGAGGCAAAATGTTACTAGTTGGGTTTTCCAGAAACAGACACCTGAGATGGAGTTGAGGTATAAAATGTTTTTGAATCCAAATAAAGGGGATTCAAAGGGAGGAAGTGGGATTGGGCTGAAGGAGAAGTCAAACTGAAATGCAGCTCTAATGAAACCTTAGCCAACCCAGTGAAGAGATCTAGAACAAATAATGCTGGTCATTATTGCCCACGTCAAGTCAAAGAGGTTAAGTTTTATACCCCCCTTTTAGTCAATCATCAGGTGCAGGATGTCCCATAAAGTTTTGACCTGAGACAACATGGCTCTCTACCAAGAGAAATTTTACTTCTTCCTTTAAGATTTGAATGACTTATTTCTTTTTCTTGCCTGATTGCTCTGGCTAGGAATTCCACTACTATAAAGAGTAGGAGTTGTGAATGTGGGGAATTTTTGTCTTACTCCTAATCTTAGAGAAAAAGCTTTTAGCTTTTCACAATTGAGTATGACGTTACCTGTGGGCTTATCAAATATGGTCTTTATTATGTTGAGGTACATTCCTTCTATACCTAATTTGTTGAGAATTCCTATCGTGAAAGGATGTTGAATTTTGTCAAATGCATTTTCTGCATCTATGAAATGATCACGTGATTTTTATATTTCATTCTAGTAATGTGGTATATCACATTTATTGATTTGCAAATGTAAACTCTCCTCGCACCTCAGGGATAAATCCCATTTGATCATGGTGTAGGATTGTTCTGTTGCATCAGTGAGTTGCTACTGCCCTCTAGTGGTTTTAACATGATTGTTTTCCTCCAAAAAAGAGTAGCCCTTGGACTGATCACTTCCTGGGATATGACAATATTGTCTTCAGGTCTCCCAACCACGTGACCAATGAGCTTTATTGTCACATACCTTTGGGATGTCACAAGAAAAGTGCAAACAGTGGGTAGAGCATGAGACAAATATCTGGCTAACTTAAAATAGAACAAATAAATCTCACAATTGCCATCAAAACTTGATAATATAATAAATATATTAGTGACATTAAATAAGTTCAATTGGTGGATAGACTCTGTTCTTTGTAAGATTTCAGAATCTTCTTTGGCACATCCGAGCATCAGTCAAGACTTGAATTGGAAATAAAATAGTTTTCAACTTATCCTTACTTTATAGCAGCATCTATGTCATCCGTTTCCACAATCCTCACCACCTAGCACATGGTCTAATATTTAAGAGGCACTCAGTCAAGTTTTTTGAAATGGGCAAATGTGTCTACATAACTGCATATATCAAATGGCTCATTCCACAGACACAATATCAACCACTAATATTTAAGTATGTGGCTGTGTGCTTGGCACAGTTGTAAGCATTTACCATGCCTTCCTTATTCAATTTTCATGACAATTCTATGACATAGGTACAGTCATTATAATTTCCTCTTTACATATCAGGGAACCTGTGCAGGCTTCAAGCAGGATTGCATGACTCCCCACTTCAAGTTAGGCATGACCCTGTGACTGGCTTGGGAGAGTGAAATGTAAGGGAAAGTGACATGTCACGTCCAGGCATAAGGTGATCCCTTCCAAGGTGATCAAGGAAGGATGTGTCAAGATGAAGCTGCCATCAGCTTGGTCCTTGAGTAACCAATATAACAAATGCAATCAAGGTGCTAAGTTCTTTACATAGTTCGTCTCATTTAACTGTCAAAATATTGCAAGGTAGATATTATTATGCCTGTTTTATAGTTGGGCATGTAGCCTTGGAGATGTTGCAGTGTGACCTAGCCCCCAGCTGCAGAGTGGTAGAACCTGTAAAGTATATTCAGTCATCATTTATCACTTGTCTGTTATTAGCATGGGCTGTAGAGGAATGCACAAAACTAGTATTACATGTTCTTAATCAGGGATGTTGCCATTTTGCTTGGAAAGGCAAGTAAGATAAATAGCCACAAAAAAGGGAAGTTGGTGGTCTGTGATGGCCTGAATATTCAAAGAAGATTTTATGGGAGGGCTGGAGGGGTAATCAGCATTGGTGGGGAAAATGTATTTGTTTGTGGAACATGGAGAGGGCATCTCAAGCAGAGCTAACAGCATAAGAAAAATGATTAATGGCAGTACAAGAGAGCATTTTGGTAGGGAAAAGACCAGGGTGGCTACAGCACAAGGTTCAAGTTGAAATGGAACAGCAGTTAAAATCAGGCATGGCAAAGCCAAAAGAGGATGAGACATGAGTGTCTGGTGAAGGGTTTTATTCATTTATTCATTTGTTCATCTGACAAAGAATTTCTGAACACCTGCAATGCACCCAGCACATAATAGGCCTCCATTAGGAGGGGACCTGAGAGGTGGTAACTCAGTGCCCAGCCCCAGAGAAGAAGTTCACCGGCCTGAAGGTAGAAAGAACAAAGTGGCAACACTAAACTCAATTTTAAATCAAATATGTTAGCCCCTGTGTTACCTGTAGAGGTCCTTACACGCAGCTAAGCCGCCATCCCCATCCTCAAAGAAGGTGATTAGAGACTGAGCAGTTTACATCCTAAATGAATCCACTGCTGGGAAAAACTGTTTGAATCAACTTCATGCCATGAAACTAAGATGGTAATGTCTATCTGTAGGCCAGGTGAGGAAGAACCCCACCAAGGTGTGTGTCCCCATGCCCAAAACGGGACCAGAGACTTACTTCCCTGCCCACTAGTAGGTGCTTGGATGCAGTACCCAGGACTCAGCTTAGTGCCTGAGTTGGAACGGGCCTTCAGAGAGTGTCCCTGGAAATGAGGCTAATAACCGTATCTTTCATTTAACATCACTGTGCTATGCACTTTGCATTACCTCATTTAATTCTCACTGCACTGGGATGGTCATCTTCCAGATGTGAAGACTGAGGTTCTGAAAGGCTAAGTACCTTGTCCAAAATAAAACAGCTAGTGAGTGGTAAAGTAATTCTAAACTTAAGTCCTGAATCATAGTACCTGAAATTGAGCCTGTGCTGAAAACTCCCCATAGGTATGTATCCAGAAAAGAAATTGTTGAGGTGCCTGGGTGGCTTAGTCTGTTGAGCATTCAGCTTCAGCTCAGGTCATGATCTCGTGGTTCATGAGTTCAAGCCCCACATCAGGCTCTGTGCTGACAGCTCAGAGCCTGGAGCCTGCTTCAGATTCTGTGTCTTCCTCTCTCTGCCCTTCCCCCACTCACACTCTTGTGTATGTGTGTGTTTCTCTCTCAAAAATAAACCAAACATTAAAAAAAAAAAGGAAATAGTCTTTCCCCTGACAGATGCGAGGAAGCATTGAAAGTCTCAGAAGAACATCCTTACCTTACAGAGATGCAGACAGAGCACTTTTTAGGAGAGAAGTTTGAAAAATCAGCAAGTAGATGATGAGGAAGTGCTTCTCTCTGGTTTCGTGACTGAGAGCTCTGGAATGGAATTCAAAAATAACAGTCATGGAAGTGGGTAGTAGGAATTTACGTTGAGGACCTACTATGTGCCAGACATTCTAAGATAGTGGAATTAACTCCAGTATATTAGGAATCACAATCCATGTAAACTGATTATACTACCACATTTACCAATTAACTGATAGAAATTACAGTAATTTTTTTAACAGCAACATAAAGTAAAACCACAAGAAAGATGGAAAATAAGGGAATCAAAAAAGATATTACCATAAAGAAAATGAGGCAAGCAACATTCATTACATCAAAAACTGTTTGAAGATTAACAAAAGTAAGGAGGAATGACATAGTAATAAAAGGAAGATTACAACCAAAAAAATATATGATATTAAAGGCAGCAAATATGCACCTGACAGCATGGACTCTGCAGCAGGTTGTATTTTCCAGAGCTGGCTGCAAAAATATCTCCCATTCCACATGCCCTTTCACGGTATGAGCCTGCCACTCCTTATCAAGAGGTAGAGGCTGATTTCCCTACCCTTAAATCTGAGTTGGCTTTAGTCTCTAAGTTGTAACCAGTAAGACTCAACAGAAGTGATGCAATGAGACTTTTGAGGGTCAAAGTCAAAAGAAGCCTTGCAGCACCTTGTCTCTTGGAATGCATCCAAACACTCCCCCTTGAGGTGCTCCCTCTCAGAACCCAACTGAAGGCCATGCTGTGAGAAGGTTATGACTATGGAGCAACTATGTGTAGGTACCCCCAGACATTACCTGCAGCCTTTGAGTCACCCCTGCTCAGACTCTAGACATTGAGTGAAGAAGTCTTCAGATGATTCCAGCTCTCAGCCACTGGCGTCATCCACACCCACGTGCATCCTCACTACCGAGGCTCAACAGGTTGTGGAGCAGAGACAAGCCATCCCCAATGTTCCCTGTTCAGATTCCTGATGCAGAACCCAGGAGCATAATAAAAATGGTTGCTATGCTATGCCACTAAGCATGCTCTGTTTTACAGTGATAGACAACCAGAATAAGTTCAAAGAATAAATCAAGTAAAAATGAACTATATAGGCTCAATATGTATAAAGTTAAAAGTTATAAAACTTTTATAAAGTTTTTTATAAAACTACAACAAAAATTGAAAAATGTATAATCACAGTAGGAAATGTTAACAAAATTCTGTCAAAAAACAATAGATCAAGGTACACCTGGGTGGCTTAGTCAGTTAAGCGTCTGACTTTGGCTCAAGTCATGATCTCACAGTTCATGAGTTTGAGCCCCACATCCAGGATCTGTGCTGACAGCTCAGAGCCTGGAGGCTGCTTCATATTCTGTGTTTCCCTCTCTCTCTGCCCCTCCCCTGCTCAAGCTTGTTCTCTCTCTCTCTCTCTCTCTCTCAAAACTAAGTAAACATTAAAAAAAAAAAACAGTAGATCAAGCAAATTTAAAAAATTGTAAAAATAGAGGCATCTGGTGGCTCAGTCAGTTGAGTGTCCAACTTTGGCTCAGGTCATGATTTCACAGTTCATGGATTTGAGCCCCCATATCAGCTTTGTGCTGACAGTACAAAGCCTGCTTCAAATTCTCGGTCTTCCTCTTTCTCCCTCCCTCTCACCCGCTCACACAATCTCTCTAAAAAATAAAGATAAATAAACATTAAAAAATTTTTTAATTGTAAATAAAGAACCACCCAATTAACAATTTGATCTAACAGATAAAAAAAATTCTGTATCCACAAAATGAATAATACAGTCTCTTTACAAATCCAAAAGCAAAATTTATTTTTAAATTATTTTTAATTGACCTTAGTCTTATAGTAAGTAGCAAGAGAAGTCCCAAATAATTTCAAGGAATAAAAGCAACATAATGCAGATAACATTGCATGATATAACACAATTAGGAATGAATAACAAGATGATAAAATATAAAATAAAATTAAATGTATAAAATACATATGTATGTATATGTTTATAAATGTATCCATAAGTAATTTATTGTTTAAAGAGGGAACCACAATGGAAACTGGGAAATGTTTAAAACTAAAAACAATAAAGCCCTATCTGGAAAACTTGTAGAAAGATGGCAAATTAAAAACTTGAGATGCATTCTTTTTAATTACGGAAAAACTAAAATACAAGTACCTCTTGTATTGTACCTCTATATGCCCATTACCCAGCTTCAAGCATTATTAGCATTTAACCATCTTGATTATTTTGGAGCAAAATATATCCTCTCATTCCATCCACAAATCCTTCAGTCTGTATCTCTAAAAGATAAGCCTCTCTCTCTTTTAAGCAAACCACAATTCCATCGTCACACTAAAATAATAATTATTCCTTAGTTTTTGATATAGTTAGCTAGTTTGAAACATGATTCTAAGCAAGATCCTTATATTTGGTCCATATGTTATATGACATTTACATGTCTTTTCGGTATCTTAATCTATAAATTCAAACTCTCTCTCTCTCTCTCTCTCTCTCTCTCCCCCCCCCCCCTTCTTGCTAATTATTTCTTGATGAAGCCTAATGTTGTTCTTGCAGAATTTCCCAGTCTGGATTTTATTGATTCTCTTTCCATGGGGTCATTTAACATATTCCTTGTTTCTCTGTATTTCCTATAAACTATTAGTTACATGTTGTGATCTAATTAGATCAAGGTTTGAGTTGGGGGCAAAAATACATCCTGGGTGGAGATGGGTACTCCCAGTGATTCAACTCAAAAGACTTTAGAAACCACTGGGGATCATTGCCCACCTCTGTTTGATCACTAAGGTCTGCAAAGTGATGATCTCCTCTGTGATGATATCACTCTTTATTAACTAAAAGTATTCTAAAAAAAGCTTTCCTTCATCAACTATTTAGGTACCCTGAGGTATAGTTTGTATAGGAAAGACAGGCTAAACACTGATATTTTCCCTTTTTAAAGAATTTTCAGAGTAATGAGTTGATATGCTAACATCAAAGATTACTGTGAAGGATGTTTTTAGCATCATTATGAGTTCATGGATTTTAATATACATGATGTATTTCAATCCACTGCAGATATTATTCTTTTTGATGGTCATATTGTCCCATCGTTGTCCAGCAGGAATAAACCCCTTTAATTAGGCTTCAGGGTCCTATTGTTATGACCCTGGTAGTCTTTGATAGCTTCTTTGTTATCTATTGTGACAGATGTTCCAGGCTAATTTTGTACATTTTCTGCCCCAGATCTGGACTCAGCCATTCTTCAAGAAGCCCTGATTCCTTTCAGTAGGAATGATATTTAGAAAAATGCATTTTTTAATGGACAGATTGGAAATAAATTAGTTATGTGGTTATTTCAAGAAGCTAGAAGCAAAAATTGCTTTTGAAAAAAATGTAAGAAACTAGTAAAGTTAAGGGCAGAAATTAGGAACTAAAAGATGGCTTCTTGAAAAAACTAATCAAATTCATTTAATAATAATAACATAGACCAACTTTTAACCACAACCTTAACCAGACTGAGCAAGAATGAAAAGGCAGAAATAAGCAATATTGTGGGGGGGAGGGGGGGAAGCTATCTCTACAATGGACCAAAAATTATAATTGAATATTACAAATAATTCAATTCAATGTACTGGTAAACATATATTAGGAAAGTTCATATAAAAGTCTCAAAAAAATTGAAGAATAGGAAGCCTGAATAAACCAAAAATTATGAGAGAAACAGAATTGGAAATCGAAAGGCTCTTCCTTACTCCCAAAACCCAGAGCCAGCGGTGTTTGGTCCCAGTGTTAAGAAATGTGTGAAGTGAGGGGCGCCTGGGTGGCTCAGTTGATTGAGCATCCAACTTCGACTCAGGTTATGACCTCACAGTTCGTGGGTTCAGCCCCACATCGGGCTCTGTGCTGACAGCTTAGAGCCTGGAGCCTGCTTCGGATTCTGTGTCTCCCTTTCTCTCTCTGCCCCTCTCCTGCTTGTACTCTGTTTCTCTCTGTCTCCGAAATAAATAAATGTTAGAAGAAGAAGAAGAAGAAGAAGAAGAAGAAGAAAAGAAATGTGTGTAGCGAGACTTTAACTTGTCTGTTACCATATTCCCAGTGATTAGAAGAGGGCTTGGCAGATGGTGAGTATTCAAAAATGCATGGTATATAAACAATCTTCCTCAGACAGAAACTATCTCACAGAATGGAAAAAACATAGAATGATGGAAACTGCTGGAGAGCCAGGTAAGTATACTCTCAGTATAAAGGAAGGAGAGATTATAGATCAATCTCACTTATAAAACTAAATGGAAAACTCTTAGGTAAAATAGCATTAAATTGAATACAACAGTATATTATGATAAGATAGGGTATATCCCAAGGATGCAAAGGAATCTGTTAAAAGGATATGCCACAATATCAGATTAAATGAAAAACTATGTGATCATCTCAATAAATGCAAAAAAGATTTGATGGCATTCAACACTTATTTAGGGTTTAAAGTTACCCTTATTTCTAATGAAATAGAAACAGAAAATAATTTCTTTAATCTGAGACAGAGCATTTATCAAAACCTAAAACAAAGAATATTCTTAATGGACAAACATTAGAGGTTGGTCCCTTTCAAATCAAGAACAAGGCACCAACACTTATATCATTGCTTCTATCCACAACGTATTGAATATTAGCAGTTCAATTCTAACACAAGCATAAGAACTGAGAAGAGGAAACAAAGCTGTCTTTATTTGCAAATAAGAGAATTCATCAAGTTTGCTAGAGACAAGATTTGTATATAAAAATCAATTGAAACTCCATGCAACAGTAATAATCAAATAGAAAAGATAATAGGAAAAGATTCCATTCATGATACGAAAATATTAAACTCCATAAGGAATTTCTGAATAAGTAGAAGTGCTTTTTGGCAAAATACAGTTATAAAGTATTATCGAGGTACATGAAAGGAGAGACCTGAATAAACAGAGATACTCCACTTTCATAGACAGGAAGACTTAATCTCATAAAAATGTCAAGTCTTCTCCAAAGTAACCTATAAATTTAATGTAATTCCAATCAATAGCCCTACAGGGGCTTTATTTATGGAATGTGACAAGCTCGTCCTTAAATTCACCTGGAAGAGTAAAGGGCCAGAAAAATCAATGACTTTTGAAGAAGAGGAACAAGGTGGGTGGGCGGGGAGAGGTGGGCCTGTGGGATGCCACAGGGGCAAAGGAGGACGAGATAGCAGATTTGCCATAAAGGCATTATAATTAAGGAAGAGTGGTGTTGGTGCCAAGATGGACAAGTAAACCCAACTCTGCCAGTTATTAGCTATATCAGCAAAATTCTTACCTCTCTGAACAACCTCTTTAATCCCATCTGGAAATTTAGCTTTATAAAATCTGTATCAGAAGTATGTTATACAAACTACATAACATGTAAAGTGGTCAGTTCAGTAGGAAACAGTGGGGACGTAATAAAGTGTATTTAGATATACATCAGGAACCCAAAATAGTAAGCCAGCTATAACAAAATGTTAATTGGGACATGTTCTGGTTTCTTCTAGTCTTTGGGACCCTCTTTGCTCTACTGCTAAGCCTTGTGTCCTGTGTTTAAAAAAAAAAAAAAAAATCTACAGGTTCCTAAGCCAGCTACTCACTTGCTACAAGGTCTTGACCATCATTTTGCTTCCGATGCTGGTTGGCACCAAGCACAACTCTTCATTCTCCCCTGAATCTAGACATTCTCAGAGGTTTCTTTGCCCTGGGCACAAAAACACAGGGCTCAGTAAAATTCTTGGTCCTTTCCCAGGACCCAGAAGATAGCCTTCACAAGCAGGGATCACACAGCCCATCTTCCTTGCAGCTATGGGTCAATAAAATGCTCTGGGTAATAGAGAAATTGCCATCTTACTTTAACTACAAATAGCTTTTGTAATACTAGAAGGTATTGCATTAAATTCTTAACAGTGGTCAGAAGTAATTTGACTTGATTTTTCTCCTTTTGCTTGCGTGTATTTCCCAAATTTTCTATTGGTTGCAATTAACATATTATTTTATAAGCTAAAAATCTAAGATACTTTAGAGGTATCAACAATATCAGATTATATATATATATATATATATATTTTTTTTTTTAAGGGAAAAAAGATATTGCAGCAGTACATCTTTCCCTTGCAGGGAGGGGCCATCAGTTTTGTCTGAGTTTCTTAAGCAAGATCTGGTCCACAGACCAGGCCCCAGGTTTCATCACTGCCATTGCCTTCCATTTCTTGAGATAATTTTCTTCAACAGAGTCAGAAATAGGTCAGAGAAACCAGGACTTTATTACTAAGGAACAAGAATTGTAAATGATTTCTTTTAATTATGTGAGTTGAAAACTTATTACATGAGACATGAGGGCCTTGAAGAGCACAAAATAAAACTGAGGTTATTAACTCAGGATATCCAGTAAAAATGGAGGCCAACATGAGCCAGTATTTGGGTAAAAACTTAACACTTCCCACTGCCACTCTGAGGCCCAAAATTGCTTTTTATGGCTCTCCTTGTCACTTAAGGCAGTAAGCAGGGCTCAGTGAAACCATCTGGCTAGAACTTCTAACCCCAGAGGTTCTTTCCCTCCCCCACCCCAATGTTTACTTTTGAGAGATAGCGAGTGAAACGGAGACAGGGTATCTGAAGCAGGCTCCACACTGACAGCAGAGAGCCCGACACAGGGCTTGAACCCACAAACCGCAAAAAATCATGACCTTTACCAAAGTCCCATGCTTAACTGACTGAGCCACCCAGGCACCCTAGACACTGGAGGATCTGAACCCTTTTTCCACCACCACACACATGTGAGTCATACTCCAAGAATACACTCTGATTTCAGGGCATCTTGGGTGGGTCAGTCAGTTAAGCATCAGACTCTTAGTTTCAGCTCAGGTCATGATCTCACGGTTAGTGGGTTCAAGCCCTGTGTGGAGCTCTGTGCTGACAGCGCAGAGGCTGCTTGGGATTCTCTCTCTCATCTCTTTTTGCTCCTCCCCTACTTGCACTGTTGCCGTCTCCCTCAAAATAAATAAATGAACTTAAAAAAAAAAAAAGAGTATGTTCTGACTCCATAATTAGAAGCAGCAGCAAGATAAAATAAGCTGAAGCAATTCCTTCTTCTCTCTCTCAAGAAAGCACATAAAAAGGCAAATAAGATACATTTTAAAGGGAAAACCCTGAAACTGCTCTAATTTTCAAATGAATTCAATTGCTCAAAACTTCACACTTTTCTTAGGGTAACCATTACTGTGGTAAGAGCAGAGCTGAGCACTGCTCTAACTATACAGCTGTAGGCGTCCGCTCTTCCAGCCACATGACCTGGGGACATTGGGCTGGTAAGAAGCACCTCTCTTCCCCACAGACCCAAATTTCCAGGAAGCATCTCTCTCTCCCTACACCCATGGTTGAGCTGGTCACTGCCAGCAGCCACCACACATTTTTGTATTGCCTGGTAACCCTCATCACGATGTCTCCATTTCATGAAACTGTTTCTAAAGGCTGGAGATCAAAATCCCGTCCAGGTGGAGTTTAGGGTTTCCCGGTAAAAGAGGAAACAGGAATCTTTTGGTTCAGTGGCACTTTTAAAAAGAAGTTTAACTGAAGTCTGAAATGTTGCATAAATGGAAGATACAAGTTTTAATTGAAAAATAATTATAACCACTTAATCATTTTTAAATGAGGGCTATAATTGCAGTCAGCGCACAATAGCCACATACAGACATAGAGATTTCCGCAATAAAGCAGGGATGGTACAGCTTGATTTGCTAATAGCACTTCCACTTCTCCTCCCTTTTGTCTCAAAGATTAATTCAGGCAAGGGCTATTAGTGCTGTTAATTGGTTCTGCAATTTAGACCTTGTGCCTGTGAATGAATGACTGATGTGGTCGCTCAGCCAATAAATGGGAGCACTCCGTCAATGCTCCCCATTGTCCGGCGAGGCATCGTCCAGGCTGCCCAGCCTCCATCCTGCCAGCCCATGGGAACGAACAAAAGGCCCAGTGCCTCTTCTAGGTCACAGCTTCAGCGGGACCAGAGATAGGTCAACAAGATGCCTTTGAAATGAGGCTGACTTAGTGAAGCTGATGGATATTCAACTAGCGCTCACCAGAAAGAAGACAGTTTGCTGTTTTGAGCTCCCCTCTCACTCTGGTATGAGGCTGGAAGGAACAGGAGGCCCAGTTGTTCTGACGCCTGGCAAAAGAAAACACCAACTGTACCATTAGCTTGAAGATAAATATACCCCAGAGCTTAGGGAGAAAACATTCTTTAATTGCCGCAGTGCTTTCCTGGCATGGGCACCACACCCCCAGGCAGGCTCTGGAGAGTATCTGCCCGAGGAGGGACCATACTGATTGTGCCTCTCCCTGAGGACTTTGGAGATAATTGCAAGTTGAAACACCAAAAAAGAGGTGTCCTGATTGAAGACTCACTCAGCAGCAGTCATTTGCCAAGCCACATTGGATTTCACTATTGAGAAAAACTTCCATGCGCTACAAGAGAGCCCCTTCTCTACAGCTGCAGGCCCACCCTCCTGGTCACAGATATTCAGATCAATGCTTTTCAGAAAGAAGACTTTGACAGTCAATGGCCTACCTCCCTTTGCGCTCCCTGAAACAGCCCAAGGCCAGAAAGCGCCAAAGCAGAGGAGAGAGTGGAATACCCTGAATGAGGGGAGGGAACTGAGGAGGAAAGGGATGTCTATGATCCACTTGCCACTGAGCATGGAGATCTGTAAAATTCTGTGCAGATTGAGTACTGGGGATAATTAGGTGTGCTTCTGCCCGATGCATGGGAGGAGGGGAGCATCCATGTTCAGTTTGGATCCCATTCCCAAAGTGAATCTCTTCTCCAAAATAAAAATTTTAAATCTCTTTCATCCATGCCACAGAAAGTGCACCATGTGTGGGGCACCTGAGTGACTCAGTTGGTTAAGCGTCTGACTCTTTGTTTCAGCTCAGGTCAAGATCCCCTGGTTTTGTGAGTTCAAGCCCCACATCTGGCTCTGCACTGGCAGTACAGAGCCTGCTTGGGATTCTCTGTCTCCCTTTCTCTCTGTCCCTCCCCCTCTCGCACTGTCTCTCTCAAATAAATAAACTTAAAAAAAATTTTTTTTAAAGTGCACCATGTGGGAAGAAGATCCAGGCCTCCTCTGAAATGAGAGAGAAGAACACCACAGCCCCCAGGAAAGCTGTTTCTGGAATAACATGTTACTGAGTACAAATTTCCAGCCACAAGCTCAGATGTTTAAGAAAACAAGTTTGTCAGTTCTTTAATAACTGAGCATAATTTTTACTTCAAGCCAAATTTCCCTCAAGGACAGAAGTTTAGATCTTCTTCCTGTATTTTCCTGAAGGTTGAATGCAAACTTGGGAGCTTATCTGGTACCAGAGCATCAGAGATGTACCATCTGTAGTGAATTTAAAAGCAATAATAAAATCTATTCAAAAGCAGCCTTTTTTTTTTTTTTAGGACTATCATGTCACAATTCTATATAATGTTAATGAAAAATTCCTCCTCCCTAAAAATGTTTTTTGTTGGTTTAATGTTTAAACAATCACTGTGGTCACTCTTGAGTGTTAACAATATATACATGGGCTTCCAATTAGCACATTTTTATGACTCCACTTTCAATAGACATTTTCTACATAGAAGTTAATTCAGAGAGCACGCATGGATTCAGCTCCTGCACTGTATTTTGCAAAACATACTGAAGGGATGGAAAATTCCGAGCTTTACTCTTATGATTATACTAGGCCCCTACGCTAAATGGAAACATGATGGAAAGAGCTGGAAATGTCTGCCAGCAACAGGTACCACCATCACTCCTCATGTAAGGATGTGCGTGGGCACACCAAGAGCTGCTGAGGCACAAAGGAACCCCAAATACCTAGGCTCTGCCAACAGTCTGGAAACAGTAGTGTGAGTCACTATCCCAGATGAAGATGTTCAACAGAGACCATTGAAATTGATCACAGAACCCATCGGTATGTGCTTAATAACATTTATATTTAACAGTCTAGTAAAAATTTGAGTTTAGTCTCATTAACAAACTCCATTTTAGTCTTTCTAAACATCTCTGAAGATTGTTTCAAACAGATTGGGACTGCCTGACTTCCAGAATCAATGAGTGGGTTCCACAGCGAGGTGAACCAGGAGAGCAGCACCTGACCCCACTAAAGGTCCTGTTAACAACCTTATTCTGTCTGAATGAGTGTCACACTGTGCTCATACTCTTCTTGAAAAACAAAAACAAAAGGGCATCTGGGTGGGTCAGTCTGTTAAGCCACTGATTTAGGCTCAGGTCATGATCTCACAGTTCGTGAGTTTGAGCCCCACATCAGGCTCTGTGCAAACAGCTCAGGGCACCTGGGTGGCTCAATTAGTTAAGCATCTGACTTTGACTCAGGTCATGATCTCACCATCTGTGAGTTCGAGCCTTGCATCTGGCTCTCTGCTGACAGTTCAGAGCCTGGTGCTTGCTTGGGATTCTCTGTCTCTCTCCCCCTCCCCTGCTCATGTTCTCTCTCTCTCTCTCAACAACAAATGTAAAAAAGAATTTAAAAAGCAAACACCACAAAACCTCGAGTTACACAGAAGATAAGAATCTGAAAAGTACTCTAATTTGAAAAAGTAATTGGAGGCATTAATCTCATATATAATTGGGGGCAAGGTAAAGACCTCTACCCACTGATTTGACATGAATTTCACTAAAAGAAGATATTAAAACACAACCTTGTAATGGAATTATTAACCTGATAAAAATTTTACTCGTCACTATGAATAAGCAAATCAAAGGAGAAGAAATAAAAATGTCCACAAATACAGGAAAAGTTACTCTCATTGGCGGACAATAATCAAAGCATCGCAGGTTAAAATGGGACATCACTTCCATCTATTCTTTATTGAAAGTAATAAAAATATTGATAATCCTCAGTTTTCAAAAATATAGAAAATTGTCATCTAAACATAGTATTTTTAATAAGTATATAAACTAATTTAACTTTTTAAAAAATGTTTATTTATTTTTGAAAAAGAGAGTGCACCTGGGGAAGAGGCAAGAGAGAGGGAGACGGAGGATCAGAAGCAAGCTCTCCACCAACAGCAGAGAGCTCAGTCAGGGCTCGAACTCACAAACTGTGAGATCGTGACCTGGCTTAACCGACTGAGCCACCCCATATGCCCGTGATCCAACTTTTTGAGAGAATATGATCAGACTTTTAAATGTGCTTTTTTAATGTTTACACTACATATTTCACTTCAAGGTGTTTATCCTAAGGAAATAATGAAACAAGTGGGAAAAGATTAATGTTCTAAGATATCAGTATCATTGTTCTTTATAATAAAAACCATTGGAAACTGAACAGATATTGATATGGAATTAATTAAATTAATTATAATATGATCACATGATGGAATTCTATGCAGTCTTTTAAAAGATTGAGGAAAATTTTGATGTAATGGCATAAAAAATAGTCCATAATATATTAAATTAAAAATAAAAGGGTTACAGAATACTGGATGTGACCAGTATGTTGAATACGCACCACTGTTGACATAATAATAATGCAAATTTATTTTGGGTCTTTTCTCGTCACTGTAAAATGTGGTTAGTGGGTGTAACTTTCCTCTGTAACTAGATGGTAACTCTAGAAGGCCCAGAATTTTCCTGTTCACTCTTAGTTAGACAAACCTACAATCACTTTTTAAAAATGTATTTATTTATTTTGAGAGAGAGAGAGAGAGAGAATGCAAGTAGGGGAGGGGCAGAGGGAGAGAATCCCAAGCAGGCTCTGTGCCAACAACGCTGAGCTGTACACGGGCTCTCTCTCGAACCATAAGATCATGACCTGAGCTGAAACCAAGAGTCAGACACTTAACCAACTGAGCCACGCAGGTTCCCCAAACCTACAATCACTTTAAGTTATAATTGCTGTCTCATTCCAATGGTTGGTCCATGATATTAATCAAAACTCCAAGCCTGATTTATTGTCATTTATATATGATACCTATTAAGATAATAGTCATTTGTCTTTTAGCTTTGCTTTTGATGTTTTGCTCTAAAGCAAGTGTGTCTCAGGTCAGGAGCCTATGATTGAAAAGGAGTTTGGTATTGTCCTCTTTGCTCTTCCCCACATAGAACTCCTTTCCACTCCCCTCTGGCACCCATCCTTTCCCAAGAAGAACTGTCAGCTAAGTCTGCTTCCTTGGGGTGGGATGGGAGGATGAGTGAGGGGATAGGGAAGGCCTTATTTGAACTGGTCCAGTGGTAAACTCACTGCTCAGTCAAACACATTGAATCAGAAATAATAGAGCAACTGGACACTGAAGAGAATCTAATCTGAAGCCCAACGGAAGTGTGGGGCTGTTGGTTTAACTGGCCCAGCTTTGACAGAGGAGGGACGGAGAGAAAAAGGAGCAAAGGAAAGCCCAAATAGCAGGAAAGGAATGAACAGCAATTGGGATATGAGAAAGAATGGCCTGTGCTAGAAACAGTGGGTAGCCCAGGAAATTAGGAAAGAGGGAGCATAGAGAGAGGGTGAGGAGGAGAGAGACGATAACTACCCAGCCCTTACTCTGCCTTATATCTATCACCACCTCCTGAGCAGGCTGTCTTACTTGTCCTGTAACAAATGGCATCAGTGAGGCTCAGACAAGTTGAGTCAACAGCACAGCCTAGCACAGCAAGAAGTGAAGCCCAGGACTCCTGATTCCAAATCCCCTGTTCCTTCCGCATGTCGATGGTTCTCAAACAACCCAAAACACCAGTATCTGGCTGGCGGTTTTAAAATTCATAACCCATAATCCCTGGCTTCATCCCAGATCTACAGAATCAGAATCTCTGGGAGAGAAGATTAAAAAATAGGATATATTCATAAGCTCCTTAGGTGACCCCATGGTGGTGCTGCCGAGTTGGGGAACTAATATATTAGGTGCATCACATTACATCCAATATGTATCTGGGGGTTGGGGGGATGAACCATTATTTCCTGAGCACCTGCTTTGCTTTACTTTGAAATGAGCATCTCCTGGGCACTGCTTTAAGTGTATGATTGCAAATTGTCCTTCTTTGACAAGATGATGAGATTGGGATGATCTCAAATTAGTGAGGGGATGACAGCAGTTATGTGACATGTTGAAAGAGCTCTTAACCAGTGAGTAGCAGCAGACCTAGGGCCTGACCTCAATGTGTG